ATTACACGTCCACACTTGATCTGTGTCATTTGATTGTGTTGATATACGTGACCACTGAGGGTTTAGTTATGATATTTGTAATGAAAATCGCTTTGATCATATATTGATATAATCAATAGACGAGATTGTTCAGGGAAGCTTTTGATTATGATAGCAAAAATTTTGACGTCATAAGGTTATACACATTTATAAGGTAACATATGTGGCATAAGTGGGAGATTGTTTGTTTATTAATTTGTCATGTGAGCCTACATATGTAATTAATTGTATATAAGGCTATCTTATAATTGAGCTGAATTAAAGTGATCTCATAAAGAATTAAATTGTGGGATTTATGGCATCTAAATAAAGTGTGAGTCGGATTATATGTGTAGAAACCGAATCCATTAGGGTTATATTTGACGATAAGCCGAATACATATTGAAACTATATATATGGTTATAATCCCTAATTCATATGCAACTTCTCATTCTTTGTATTATCACATCAACACAAAAATACAAGAAAAAGAATATTGAAGAGCAAGATTCAAACACCACAATCAAGAACAAGAATTGAAAAAGAAATCAAAAAGAGTGATTGGAACAATTAAATTGAAGAACAAGACAATCAAGATTATGGAGCAAAAAGTTAAAATCAATATCAAGAACTCAAGAACCAAAATAGCCAATAATCAAGATTCAAGATCCAGTATTAAGACACAATTTCCAATAAATTAAGGTATTTTCCGCATTAATTTTCTTGGTGATTTGACGTAGATAATCTTGATAATAAAGTAATTAGATTTTCTAATTTTATAAAGTTTCAACGCATTGCAATGCGAGTGTAGTATAATTTTGCTGAGAAGGTTTTTTAAGTTTTTTTTTAGCTATTTGGAAAAAGTTGTAAATTTATATATTTATTTATTTCAAGAGGTTATTAATAACCAACGAATTATGTCGGCTTCGACTCAGACTTGAGAATCCTTAGATATTATCTTTTGCGCCTCCCAAGAAGTATAAAAGCAAAAGAAAAAGGCTATGTGTAGAGCCTTGGTACACATGAAGTTACACAGCCCACTCACATGAGGTGGGCCTCACAAAAATGTGGGACCCACCTCATGTGAGTGGGCTGTGTAAGTTATTGTGTACCAAGGCTGTACACCAAGCCTTGTTAAAAGCAAAATTAACCACCCATCTGGAGCTTTCTCAATGTGGATGGATGTTTGAGAAATTAACAAGTAGGTAATTAATAATATACTATGTATTTACATATTACATTCTATTTGTAGTAGAAAAAGCAAGAATTACCTTTTTCTGTTATTTTTACCCGTGTTTGCTTTTTTCATTACGTGTTAGTTAAAGATGGTTTTCAAAGAAAAGTTCTATATTGCTTGAAAATTTAATTGTACTGCAACCATAATTCTCTTTATAGCCACTCTCCCTCGTATCAATTTCAGCAAACCAACCAAGAAAACTTTCTCATCTCTACACCTTTTCGTCCTTTTCAAGCAAAACTCACGGGGTTTTGGACAAGTTGAGAAATAGAAAGAAAACGAGTCTCACAGGAATTGCCATCCTGACGTGATGCGGAAGTTGACCCAAGGGACTTGTTACACCATCCATTTTTGTTTGAGTAGTGTTATTTGCAGTCGTTTACTATCATCGTTGCCCTACATGATATACATGTGACGGTCAGCAATTTGATGCATTACTGTGATAGTTTTGAATTACTTCATGCATCAAATGACTAACCGTCATATGCGTGTCACGTAGGACGACTACGATAGTGAGCGGCTGCAAATAATATTATTCTTTTTGTCTAGTTAACAATTTAGACTGTAGATGGCTGAAAGATATTCTCTTCATCCTTTGATCTCCGCTTTGGGGGGGAAAACAGAATCTTGTAATTGTATTGAATGGTCGTGGTCCAAGCAGACAAAACTGAACCTCCTATCCGGCACATAGCCTTCATCTCTCATGTGTCTCAACAACTCTGATAATATACCATAAATATCATCACCTTGAGGATGCACTTGATCAGCAACTACAAAACTGTGGATTTTCTTATCAATCTCAATCCAACTTATTCCTGTCTCTTTCGATACCCCCTTCTCCTTCATTTTCTTGATTGTTCGTGCTCTTTCTCTCCAAAGGCCTTGAGAAGAATAGATATTTGCCATAGAAATGTATGGCACGGGACTATCAGGATCAGCCAGAGCTAGTTGAACAACAGCCTGCTTCGCTGTCTCAATATCACCACGAATACTAGCAGCACCAAGTAATGCTTGCCAAACATGTACATCTGGCTTTACACTTAGTCCAGCTATAAAATTCTTGGCTTCATTTATAAGACCCGCACGACCAAGCATGTCAACAAGACAAGCATAGTGCTCCATTCTTGGACGCATACCATAATCTTTTACCATTAATTCAAACAACATCATACCCTGGTGAACTAACCCTACATGACTACAAGCGTGAAGCAGAGATAGAAATGTAACATCTGTTGGTTCTACTCCTTCCAACTTCATTTCTTCATATAATTTAAGGGATTTAAAGCTATCACCATGGCGAGCAAAAGCTGCAATCATGGAGTTCCATGAAACTTGATTCTTTTGAGGGATTTGATTAAAAATCTTGGCAGATTCCTCCAACTCCCCACGCTTGGAATACATGTTAATTAAGCCATTGCTGACAAATACATTAGAAGCAAAGCCTTTTTTGATTGCTAAAGAGTGAACTTGTTTACCAAGACCTAATGAAATATCAACCACATCAACTCCAAGAATCGCGGAAATCATGTTTGGATCAATCTTGGAACCTTCCTTCACCATCCTCGTGAACATCTGTATAGCTTCATCCTCAAAACCATTTTGTGCAAAACCGACGAGTACAACAGTCATAGAAACCTCATCAAGCACCTCAGCCGACTCAAATATCCGCCACGCATCCTCTATGTTACCACACTTCGAATACATATCCATTAATGCACTTTCAATAAACAAATCCGATTGAATACCCAACTTCCAGGCAATCCCATGAATCTGGCGACCCTCCTTGAGCGCTTGTAAGCCAGAACATGCCAAAAGCACACTTAGATATGTCAAATAATTAGGAACCACCAACTCAAAGTGCATTTCCACAAACAACTTCAAGCTTTCCTCGTAAAATTCATTTTGAGCAAGACCGGAAATTGCAGCTGTCCAAGTAATGACATTCCTCTCCACCATCTCGTCAAAAACACCCCTCCCCGAATCATAACATTTACATCTAAAATATGCCGTTATCAAAGCATTCGAAACAGTTATTTCATTTTCATAACCATTCGAGGTTACCAAACCGTGAATCATCTTCACAGTTCCAAGAAAAGCAATCCCATCACAAGCCGACAAGATCGTAGTCAAACTGGCATGATCAAATCGATATAACCCAGAATCAAACATTGACTTGAAACAACCAAACCCAGACCCTAGCTTCCCGTTTTTCAAGAAACCGGATATAATCGAATTCCAAGAAACAGTGTCCTTAAGCGGCATTCTATCAAACAGTTTAACTGCATCGCAAACCTCACCACATTTGCAATACATAGAAAGTAGAGAATTGTAAATTACATAGACATTTCGGTGATTAAAAGTGTTTCTGGCATCATAGACTGGTGGGTTCTTGATAATACAGGCGTGGAGACAAGATCCTACACGAAGATTGCCTCCTCTTCCACAATTGGAAAGAAGGCGGCTTATTTCTATTACATTGCTGCTGAATGTTGTTGAAGAATTTGGTGAAAATGGGTTTGTAGAAGCCGATGTCTTGGAGGTGGAAATGAGAGAGAAAGAGCAGGGCCCCGAGGGAAACTGAGAGTTTAGCTTTGAGAAGAGCCATTTAGTAACACTCATCCATGAAAGTTGAAGGATAGACAACACACGTACATATACACAAGCCTTCCTATTATTCTGTGTTGGGGCCTTGGGGGTGCAGATAGGCATGACCTAGTTAATAGAATCCATAATATGCTAACACTTGGTAGCATTATTCTTTGAGTAATGCTATTCATCCTCAGTGGGGATGAAAACACAGTCTACATGGCATCAATGTGCCATTAAATGATAGGTGAAATTAAATAATTTCATTTAACCTATCATTTAAAGTCACCTACACTGCATCCCCAAGGGATGAATAACATTACTCTTATTCTTTTTATTTTAATTTAACCTAATTGCTATATTTTATTAATAAAAATAAATAACGTACAAAGAGAACAAATTTGATGGGGATCACATGTTAAAGGAAATAAAATACTACATTTTATGTGATCTAGTCATAGTTTTCATGATAGTATGATTAATATAGAATTATTTAGCTCATTGTCACTTTCATATGCATTGCTCGATGGTGAACGTGTGAACTTATGAAAAATCTTGAAATTTATTGTATCATATACTTTCTCAGAGTTAATAGCCACAATCATCATCGAACTTTAACTAAAGATTTCACCATATCACTAAACTTTAAAAACTACCCAACAAGTTATTGCACTTTCAAAACTGCAACCTCATCCA